ACTAAGAAAGTTAAAATATCTCGTGAATTGTTTAATTTTCAATCATCTACCTCTGATACTTTTATACGCGGAATACCCAAGGAATGGACTTGTGCAAGAAAAATTACATAGATCCATTTAAAGAACACACACAGAAATGCATAAAATTTGCCTTCCAAAATTTTGCTCTATCTCTAACTGTGTCAATTGCTCTGCCCGTTTGCACGAAACACTCGTTAAATCACAATTAATTATTTTTATAAAAATGTTTAAGCTGTTTTTATTTAATTATCTACGTTTGACGACAGTACGGTATTACAATGACGCACTCGGGGAAAAAATCTGCGATAATTATTAGTTTGTTATATACATTAAGGTTACTGACGTAAAATTCACTCAGACTGTGTTATGCGAAACGAAACATTTGAACCTATGTTTTGTCCGAGTGATACGTTTGACGAGTAATGTTTGGATTACGGCTTTGGTTAGTTATACAAAATTGCAGAGTGTACTATAGCCAGTCTTTACAAATCATTAATTTACGTGCCGACCTTCGACACTCTGTTTAGTAATCGTTCTGACAATGTATTTACCCACACTTCAACGTGAAATTACTGCTTTCATGTTTGTACACACAGCGAGCTGAGTAAACCAAACAATTGAAAACATGATAAACTGAAATGTTCAGCAACCCTATTAATGATGATCCATGTTCAATTTACATCAATAACGCTTTATTTTCTCTAGAACATGTTCGTCACTTTTCTGTTATTAATATTTTCTTATTATTAAGGGAGACTTTATGAAATTTTATTTGAAATAATTAATTACACAGTGAACGCTTAAATCAGTCCTATTTAAATTCGAGCAAAGTGTGGAAAATCAAAATTTGACCTTTTGTTTGCTGTAACTATATTATATCAAATTATATAAATATTCATTTTCTTGAAATAATAGTAATTTCAGATGATAATGCCTACAAAAATAATTAATTTCTGGTAAGAGCAAATTACGAGATCAATTATAAACAATTTTAACCTAGTTGATATTTTTCATATCGTTATTCTTATTGAATCATTTCTTAAATCGAAACATTGCATTATATGTATAAAGAATAAAATAACTGTAAAATAGTATTTTTAATTTAATTAGCTATATAATTACATTTATCATATCTGACTACTCTTGCCGGTGTAAAATATTTTACGACAACACCGCTTTAATTCACAGTTAGCCTTCGTTAATTAAACAAAAATTTTAATTATCTTTTTATTTAAGCGTTAATTTAAATAGTGCTACCTGAAAAAGACTCGCGTGTAACCATGTATGCTGTTTAGTTCGGAGTGATAACATTACAACGTAAATCTTATAAAGTTTGTCTAATATACTACAATGTTTAACGTAACAGATTAACGAAAAATATTTAGATAAATCCAAATTAGGTATTTTATATACTTATTAAGCATTCTTGAATAAGCATACGTATCGTCAAAAATTTGAAATATCTCACGAAGTATTCATTTTTCTAATTAATACTTTCCGGTCTACCTAAAAGAAATATGCAGTTGATGTTAAGGATGTTAGATTGTTAAACAGTGTAAAATTTAGTTCTACGATTTTTTTCTAACTTCACTTGGAACAGAACCATAGTCTGGTCTAGAATTAAGAATTACACACCCTGCATACCAAACACCTAAATATTTCCTATATTTTCAATGACATCAGAAATGTTTCAGAGTTTGAACAGCTTCAAAAGAGGAGATAGACAATTTTTTTGCATATTTTTTTAAGATGCACAGAAATATGTTTAATTCATGACCCTGAGGTAACCTTGAACATTGGAAAAATAATGAAATTCTGAGATTAGGGTGACAAGTGAACCTTCGTTTTTGTTACTAATGCTCAAAACGAGAAATCATTGATTGTGATGCTCTTTTAATTGCTTTTGACGTGATAGCAGTACAAGCTGTAATTATGCGATTCTTCATGTTTTCGCGCTGAATGTATCAAGTTATGTTTATCAACGTACTATAAATAACTCTATTCCAAAGCTTATTAGAAAAGCTTATAAGAAATCGTAAGCGGTTCACGACGAAGTATACTCCAAACAAGAGCAAATTCATATAATTTTTGTTTATGGTGAAGCTAAACTGTACTTGAGATAACCCATATGAATGTACAGAGAACGATTTTCCAATCCTAACTGTGCATCTCTTTCATTCTATTCAGATATGATTAAAAAGTTTGACGAAATCGAAAATGTGAAAAACAAAAGCCATCGGAAATCTAAAAGTGCTACGCATGAAGCAAATGTACAAAATGTTGTTGCTGCTATTAATCAAAATTCGCACGTCAATCTAAGACAACTGCATAGGACGTATACTTAAGGTATATACAAAAATTTCACGTATTCCACTTGTTGCTTTACCAAAATCTTCAGAGATTTTGAAAACCCCACCTTGTTTTATCGACGGGCGTTGGAACAATTTGATAACGATACCACATTCTCCGGAACAATACTGTTTACTGATGAAGCATTTTTCACTAACCATGGAAAGGCTAGAAACATGCATTATTGGTTGCATTATTGGTTGGTGCATTATTGGAAAGGACAATTGACAGTAAATGTTTGGTGTAACATTTCAAATAACAAAATTATTGGACCTTATTTTATTAACGGAACACTAAAGTATGCATAGTTTTTCTCGGATGATCTGGAATTCAGATCAATTGATAGAAAATGTACCATTAAGTGTTTGTAAGATTATGTGGTACCAATACGACGATTGTCCAGCTCATTATTCACGAGCAACTACTCAAGTACTCAATAGAACATTTCCAAACTGTTGGATTGGACGTAATGGTCGTATATCATGGTCAGCACGTTCACTAGATTAACACCATTAGACTTTTTTCTTGGAGAAAATTAAAAGAAGACGTTTACCGACAGCATCCCACCACTCTGAACGACATGAAAAATCACATAATTACAGCTTGTGCTGCTATCGTGTCAAAAGCAATAAGAGCATCACAATCAATGATTTCTCGTTTTGGATAGTGTATCGCCGTCGAGAGACATCACTTTGAGCATTGGTAACATAAAAAGTAGGTCACTTACCACCTTAACTTTGTCTCAGAATTTCATTATTTTTTTTTATGTGTAGGTCAACTAGAGGAGAAGGAATGGAGAGCAAAAAACAATGGCTAGAGCAAGATGTGGATCCACAGAAAATGCCAACAAGTTTTGGGCAGAAGAAGAAGAGAAAAAATGCCCACTATGTGAGGAAGAGGAAGGAACGTTTGAACACTGGAGACAATGCAGGAAAATGGGCGAAATCGACCTCAGCATGGAAAGGATCCTGGCGGAAGAAGGAGAAGCGGAGGCGGTGGCCTGGCTTAGAAAAATAGAAAAAGAAAAAGAGAAAAGAAGAAATGGATAACCAATATAGAAACCCACCAGAAGATAGAGTTAGTAAAAGAAAGCACAGAACCAAAGAAAGATTAGTTATAGATTAGTTAACATTAGTTAATGATCGTAAAATCTTGTTTATATAGTTCCTTATTATAAGTTTATTATGTAGTAGTTTGTAATTTAAGGTTAAGTTAAAATTTTGGTAGGCAGTACTAGACAATTAAGGAAAGTGAGAGCAGCCAAGCACCGATGCTGATTAAATAAGTTAAATGGAAAAGAAGAACTGTAAACAATAATGTAAAGACCGAGGTCTATTTCTAAGCCAAAAGGCTGAAATAAAGATTACTAAAAAATGTTGTAGGTCAACTCAAAGTCATAAATTGGACATATTTGAATGCATTTTAACATGTGCTACAAGATACAATAAAAAGAAGTTCCGTCGGAGAAATATGTGACCGTAAAAAAATTTGAAAAATGTTGTTCATAAAAGAATGTTTCTATTTACAATAACACCTCTTTTGAAACATTTCTGATATCATTAGAAATGAAGGAGCTCCGTAGATGTTCGATCTTAGCTGAGACACCCTGTATATCTAATCGGTCACTTCGCTTTATCGTAATCCGTTCGAATGATTCGAATAGTTCTAAAAACTCAATCTATTTAAAGAACTTAGCTTGTCCAAAATACTCTACTCTAATAACTGAGAATTCAACTGTATTTCCTAAAATGAGTTTTCCTAATTCTCGTTACATGCTTACAAGGTTCTAAATGTTATTGTAAAAAACAAAAGTACAACTACTAACAAAGTGCACAGTAAAACGTTACAGCAGTATTTCATAAGCAATTTGAGAACTTTACACTCGACGCAGCAATTTATCTTTTAGATCAAATGTACTACTGAACTTTTTGAAATTGGTCCTCTCCAAATCGAATTTCGAATGAACACAGCATACCCAAATATTTCGGATACTCGAGCAGCTTCAATCCCATGAATACGTGGACATCACAACATTCACACTGTCCAACGAACATGTCGTTCATCGTTCATTCTCATCAATCATCGTGTCAACATCAGAGACGTGTATTAAAGCAACACGACATGCGCACTATTCCGTAACACACTTGACAATACCGTGAACACACGCGCTGTGGATCCATGCGCTATATGTGGGGGCCATCAGAGAGTTAGTTGCGAACATCCGGTCGCGGTAATAGCATTTGAACTCTAAAATGTCCGCTTCTCCGATCATTATTGTCGTCTTAATGCTGACTTCGCCGAAGCGTAAGTTTGCTCCAACACGTTACCAACCGACCTTTGTACACGGCGAAACGAACAAACAATAAAAATAGTGGAAGATATTAAATTCCACTCGTTTACTTAATATTTTATCATTCGAACGAATTGATTAATTGAGGCAAACGATGATTTCTCGGAGGAGAAACTTTCTTTTTTTTAATTACACATCGTACGTTCGCTGCTTCTATTATAGTAACTTCGTCAACTCCGAATAACATTTACATCGTAATACGATTAGACGAAACATGCGCATTTCAATTAGTTTAGAAAAATAGTGACATTAGATAGCTTCTTTTTCTAATCCCACTAACCTTGTTTTATATTACAGGAAATAATGAAGTTCCCGGGTTGACAGTGGCAACCACGAGTCAATCTCACAGAAGGAACGTTTTCTTTCCACTGAATTTTCACCGATTTGAAACGAAATGGACGCACGACACCTAACAGCAGGAAAACGTCTATCTTGCAGCTACTTAGACCATATCTTTGTCCATTGTAATTATCGCAAAAGTGTGTAGTACCCGATAACGCGAGATTATCATTTTCAGTATCGAATAATCAACAGCATGCAAACTTGGAAGAACGACAGTTTCCTGATAGCCCAGACGCAAACAATTATATCTAATTATTGAATGGCAAAAGGAGAGGAAGTTTCAACTTAATTCTCTGTTCGATTCAATTGTTGTTGCAGACATGTTTAGTATAGAGTATAGCGGATTTCTTGTTACAGAGGAAATGCGAGAAGAAAGTTTTCAGAAGGGAAACATCTATAACTGATAGGATCAAATTATAAATGAAAAATTATTGGTTTTATAGGTGTATATAATAACGCATTGTGGTATGTATATGTGAAATATAATAACATGAAGTGTGTACAACTGAAAATGTCCCGATACTTATTTTAGTTGTGTCTTTTGCCAATTTCCTTATCCATTACAACGAATAAACCCAATTTACTCGTCATTCGCGAAAATTTATTCGCATAACGCCCAATACTGCCTTGTAAATATCTACGACAAATGTAATATTGTATTACGAACGAATAAAATTTAACGTGTATTTTTAGGAATACCTTTGAAAACACGATTTCTCACCACTTTTTTCAAAAAGTAAGTAAACCTTGACGAAAAAATAACAAATAGTAATTTAAAATAAGAAAGTACCATTTAAATATCGGTATTATTAACTTTTATGAATATGTTAGTTTAATAATACTATTAATTAAAATCAATATTTGATAGGTATACACTACCGGCCAAAAGTTTGGAATCACTGTGCGTTGCAAGTTACACAAAAATTCCGAGAAAAATGTCAGCAGCTTTAAGAATTTTTTAACGAATTTTGTATCGTTCCAATCAATTTATCTCCACAGTATCAATATCAAGTCTATGAAAAATTAGTAACAGATTCAGTGATTCCAAACTTCTGGCCGGTAGTGTACACCAATAAAATGGTATGATGATTACATAGTTTTTCAGTGGAAGTAGAAATTTATTTAAATCTTGCGATACCAAGAGCAATAAACTCGTAGCAAGTTTCATAAATACAATCTGTTTTTCACGAGTAATTCACATAGCCAACCTGTAAGTATTTTACAAACATATTTACACATGAAATTTCACGTGCAAGGACAATCTCATGAAAGATCATTTCTGTAACACATGCACTGGCGAATATGACTTATATTTTTTGCTATTGGATTTGCTACTGGAGAGTTTTTCACGTTAATTACTACTCATCTGTATATAAAATTTTCATTAATAAATCTTTTCGACACCACTCACCAGATTAATTTTATTTTTAAAGTTACGTCGAAACGAAAAGTACACTTTACATAGTTACGATACGCATCATCTGAACACATCTTATAACATTAATAAAAATGCGGATTTTTAAAGTTGATAAATTTTCTACCAATGATATTATAATTATATTGAGTTCTAGATACATCAACTTTTTTAAACAGTTTTCCTATTAAAAAGTAGATTGTAGCAGATGAACAATATTTTCGCTTCAACTGTATTGTGTTCCAGTTTGAAAAAGATGATACACAGCTCTCTTTTCCCGAATATACACTACCGGCCAAAAGTTTGGAATCACTTGCCGATTTCTATCAAAATCGAATATACCGGTAAATTTTGGAATGATCCATCGTTAATATATCAGATGTTAACAAGTTGAATTATACTTTAAGAGATTTCAGCATTTTCTTATGTCCATAAGAAACACTCAGTAATTCATACACTCAATTTAAGACAACGCTCGGAATAAACTTTTCTACTGCCGGGAAAGATGCTCTGTTTTCGCCTTGTATAGGAATTCGCGATTCTTTTGTTTACCAATAAACGTCGAATGTTACAATATTAGATTCCAATTGGCTGGTCCGGGGGCCGAGAAAATGTATAAATCGGACATTTGTTATACATTGCCACTATTCTCGTGAACGAAGGCGTTGAAACGTGATCAGCAGCTAAAATTTTACATTAATACTTTAAAGTGGCAAAAAGAATAGAAATTAGTATTGAAACTCGAAGTGCAATTATCACACTTAAAAAGGAAGGTTATTCTTTGCGGAATATTGCAAGGAAATTGAAAGTATCATAGTTTGAAAGACAAACCACGGTCAGGAAGACCCAAAATCACGTCGAGAGCTGAAGATGTAAGAATAAATATTATTTGCAAACGAAACAGACGACTAACGGCCTCGGAAATTCGTGTAGGACTTAATGATAGTAGACCGAATCCAATATCTCTGACCACGGTGAAAAGGCGACTAAGAGCTGCAGGTTTAAACGGCCGTATAGCAGTGAGGAAACCATTGCTTTCGTCGAAAAATCGTAAAATGCGGTTGGATTGGGCAAAAAGTCACAAAAATTGGACACCTACGGACGACACCTACGGATTGGGGTAAGGTTCTTTGGACTGACGAATCCAAGTTCGAAATATTTGGGTCGCACCGAAGGATATTTGTTCGCCGATCTGTACAAGGAAAAATGTTGCCAGAGTGTACTGTACCTACTGTCAAACATGGTGGTGGTTCAGTTATGGTCTGGGGATGTTTCTCAACGGTTGGAGTAGGAGACCTAATCAAAATAGAAAATACGCAGCAAGATAACGACCCTAAGCACTCATCTAAATTGTGTAAAGGGTTCTTATTGCAAAAAGAAACAGAGCGGGTCTTGAGGAATATGACATGGCCAGCACAATCACCGGATTTGAACCCGATAGAATTTTTGTGGGAAGAGCTCGATCGGAATATCCGGAAGGGTTTAATAATATTTGCACACGTAATCTATTAAATGTAAACAGTATTGAAAATAACCAACTTCTGGTTTATTATGTGCTAATCAACGACCAGAATTATTCAGCAAAGATATTACAAACAATTGCAAAAGCTGTTTGAAATATAAATAGCGAAAGTAATTTTACTTTCAAGTGTCACAAAGTGAAACCGAATCCAGTGAAACCGAAATAATTGGAACAAACATTTTGTTCTGCTATTTCTTGTCAGATGAGTGAAAGGAAGTAGTACTTTCAACTTATGCTGCTGCACGTTACCACGTTAAACGTAAAATAGCATATTGTTATCAGAATGAGAAGATAAGAATGAAGAAGCACTTACCGAAAAAATTCTTTGAATAGACACCAAGTTTTCTGAACACTTCCTATTTATACGTAATTCGTACCCATATAGCGTCGTTATTGTGTACTAATAATGTTTACAAATGTATCTATAAATATTACATATGTATGCTAATAACGTTGTTTAATTCACGTTAAACGAATGTTTCTATCTTTTGCGAGTAACGATGTAAATACTCCATTATGCATCAAGCATTTAAGTTACACGGAATGGATTATTTGATATAAAATTCAATTATTAAGAAATTCAAAAATATTTTTATTTTTCTCACGTATTGTTATGGAAATAATTCTTTATTAAAAGAAGTGTCAATAAAGATTTCTCCGACTAAATCTACTAGAAATATCGTGTCGACTTGGTGGACCATAACGGGATATAATGATGAAATAAACAGATCGTAAAGCTGTAAAGAAATTACCTTATACAGGGTGTTTCATAAATGGTGGTAAATCTACATACTGAAACAAGTAAAAAATGTCACATGTATATACATATGTCCGATATACCTTAGTTTTGGAGTTATGGATGATTAAAGAAAATGTTCGAAGTGCCCACCTCGTGCCTCAACACACGCTACTGTACGCCTTAGTACATACATCGAGACCTTATCTAATGTTAATAAATAATGTCGATCGGTATAAAGCAGATGAAACTTTGGGCATCAAAAGTATACGTTCCCATTTGAAAACTTAAACGTGACATTTATAGGGCTTTTCAAGGTCATTGCAAAATCAAAAAACTATCGGAACAATATGTTGCCATCTATACCCTACAACTTTCGTCTGAAATATTTTTTTGTATCATTCGTAGTTTTCAAGATACTTCCGTGTTCTGAGATAAAACGGACATACTGTATAACTCGAAAACTAAGGCACATATACAGGGTGTACCGTAACTCCTCGAACACCCGGAAATGGGGGGTTGCTGGAGTGACTCTGAACAATTTTTTCCTTTTCCAAAATACAGTTTGAAGCTTCGTTTTTGAATTATTAACGAAAAACACTGGCCAATCAGAGCGCGCGTAGAGCCCGCGCTCAGGGGCGAAGAACAGAGGCTGTTTTCAGACCTTTGCTATTTTCTTCACGATTCCGACTAATTGCAGTTTTTTCAAAAATTTATACACCGTGCCTGGGCGCGGGCTCTACGCGCGCTCTGATTGGCCAGTGTTTTTCGTTAATAATTCAAAAACGAAGCTTCAACCAACATTTTGGTAAAGGAAAAAGTTGTTCAGAGTCACCCCAGCAACCCCCCATTTCCGGGTGTTCGAGGAGTTACGGGACACCCTGTATAGGACATACACTACCGGCCAAATGTTTGGAATCACTGTGCATTGCAAGTTGCATAATAAATTCCCTAAAAATGTTAGCATTTATAATAATTTTCCAACGAATTTTTTATTATTCAAATCAATCGAAATGAGATAAAGTGCTATTGATCTCCGCAACATCAATTTCAAATCGATAAAGAATTAGTAGCAGATTCCATATTAATATAAATTGGCAGGTGATTCCAAACTTTTGGCCGATAGTGTATGTCCATATGACACTTTTTACTGGTTTTAACGTGCAGATTTACCCCCCGAAGTATCGACATGCATTTATGAAACACCTTGTCTAACGAATTCGTGAATTACAAACTTAAGAGGAAATCGGTATAAGTTACTTCGATACGTCGATGATTCATATTTGTTTTGTGAAATTAAATTTAAAAGAACTATTTCTTCATTTCTGTGATTTTGTAATATCTAATTTTCACCTTTTAAGGTAATTTCAAATAGTTTACAAAATACTTTATAAAAACAGCAACGCATTTTTTCTTTAATGAATTCACATGAACAAAGTGTCACTCGAAATGTCGTTTTATTGGGCTATTATAAATTTTATATTGTCATTTCTTACACACTTACTCACTATTTAAAACCACTTTTATTTACCTATTATAGTACCATACTTTACCATTTATAGACGATTTGTAAAGGGCCTAGCCGAATAAGCATGGTAAAAGTGCCCCCAAACCGAATTGATCTTGGTGCATATCATTCGATAGACCACTCGAAGAAAATCCTTTCCGTCAAGTATCAAGCTGGTACCCCTACTACTAGGGTAGTTACAGGGTGAAACGCAATTTACAGTTCAAGCTCCATTTCTCTTGTTCTGCTCGATGAAAACTTATGAAAAAAATCATGCATGTGCTACCCAATGGCATCCATGTCTGTGAATTTTTTCAGAATTGTTCACTGCAAAATCGAGTTTTAAAAAATTCGGAAAGTTTATAAATGTTGTTTTTATATTGAAATTATCAAATTACCACGTTTATATTTTTACAGTATTAGTGTCTTGTTATGGATATTAACGTGTAATTTTTCCAGATTTTTCGAAGTGGGGGACGGCACCTAGAAAAATCAAAAACCGATGTTCGTTTATATTATTATTTTAGTTTTTCGTATGACCATGTTCATTTTTCTACAGTTTTAGCAGACTGTTATTGTTATTAATGTATAATTTTTTCAGATTCTTTTGAGAGGTGTATCATACTTAAAAAAATTATAAACCGATATCTCATAACCTTTCGAACGCAGACTGGCATAATCGACATACTTTATTCATTAAATGGTCATTATATGCATTTCCAAATACTTTCACATGTTTAAGTAAGTCTAAGTTTTTTTTTTTTTTTATATGGGGGAACTCTTCCAAAGACACCTCGTCTCTCCTGGAGTGGAGAGGCGAGGTAGTGTGGGATTCTTATCAAAGGGGCTTTCCTAGCCGGAAAGCCAGTCTTGCTTAGAAAGTCGAACGGTGACGTTCTAAACAAGTCAACCCATACCTCAGCGAATAAAGTCTTTACTATTAAATACGCGCCAGTTCATTGCTTTTCCTTACAAGAGACGCGTAAAAATTAAATTTAGCAAAAACTTTCCAAAATGTAAACCTTTCTTGCCCTGTACAATCTTTCCGACACAATTTCGAGAAAATACCGGCATATCGATGCGGATTCAAGTATCTACACATGTGTAGTCGTTTTGTTGACAAAGTTCTATCAGCTCTTGATATCGTTTTATTTTGCTACTACCAACGTCGATCTTACAATACTATGCTCTATATGCTCGGTCTACTACCAATCATGTTACGTTATTTCATATTAACACGCACAGTGTTATTTTCTTTTTCACAGTTACTTCCATCATTACGATTAAAAAAATACGAGTACTGCACACTTATTCGCATGATTTCGTTGAAATAACGAAACAATCGAGTTAACCAAATTTTATGGTAACATATACAAATCACCTTATTTTTAACTCTTTTAAAGTGTTAGTTTATAATTTATCTAACGTAAATTGTCATAATTTATTTTCATTAAACTTGAGCTTTTATTTGATTTTACTTAAAAATTATCTTTTTTAGTCTTTCGATCATAAAATAAAACTTGCACATATATGAATTCGAATCGACAACCTTCGAAAAATATCACAATACCAGTGACACTGCATATCTACTCATTACACAACGCGTGTTAATTTACAAATGCATTTCTTGCGATAAAGATCTTATCAAATGCAAACATCGTGAGCTGTGATTAGAATATAGTTTAAAAATATCAATTTCAATTCGTACATGTAACATAAAACGTACCGATATTTATCGTATATTTGTGTGTTGCGCAATGTATAATATACGATAAAGTTGTCACATTATCATAGTATAATACAATAAAATTATTATTCAAATACTGTAAACGTTATAATATATTATTGCAATTTCACGAAAAGGTATTATTTTCAACAACGAATACCAATTATTTCATTACCATCTTTCCTTCGTCCTAGTAAAATGAGATATTATTACATATACGTGTATTGCATTGAAGGATGTCAATTAGTACAGAAATGTATGAATAATGTAACGTCATTTAAAATTTGGGGTCATGAAGATCTCAACCAGCAAAAGTTTCCTGCAAAATTATACAATAACTACAAATGAATTGCATTAATTGATATGTTACATTAATATTAATAGGAGACTTCTATAGTACATTTGTATCGGTAGTAATTTACAATCAGTAATTCCAAAACGGAAGTAATTTACAAACAGCAAAAAAGATTTGTTACGAAAATTCGGGATTTTAATGTACACTTACAGAATGTGACGTAACAATAGTAAATAAACACTTTTCACATGATTTTATGTATAATAAAATTGTAAAACTCGCATTTCCACTTTTAACTAAAAGTCGCATTCACAAGACAATATTGACCCGATTAAACGTGTAAAGCGACAAATTTGATACTCACGACTCCGGTTTATTGAGTTGCATCAGGTTCTCCATGTCGACGAGCGTACAATCCAAAATGGTTCGCCCTCCATTAAAACCAGTAAAAGCTCGTGCAATTCGGTACGGTCAATTTCGTGGTAAAATCGGTAAATTCGCGTGATCGTGACCAATTGGCATTTACACAATGCTGACGCTGTGGCTGTGCCTGCGATCTGTTTATGGACTCCAGCATCAGTTCAAGAATAGATTATTCTGGAGAACAGAGAGAGGAAACAGGTCCTTCTCTCGACTGGTGTTTTTATCTAGCGGTTTGATGTGCTCTGTTCGAAATAATCATTTTACTTTCTAACAGCGACACCTCTTACGCCAAAATATCGGAAACTAATAGATGCCAGATTCCTCCTAAAGTTTCGTTGTTTAATTCCCCTGTCACGACCACCTTATCGTGGACACTGTGTCGCTAAGAGCTACAAAGGGCTAAAGGTTGTGCAAATCGTAGTTTTTCACGACTTTTTGGCCTATAACTGTAATAAATCTAAAGATTTCCTTTCGATGCCTGTCACTTGTTTCCGAATCAACCGATTTCGATGAAATCTTCAGCATGTCTATAATTGACATAAATCTACAAAATGTACGTTTTAAAAATTCATTACAAGCTCAGATAAAAGAGTTGTAAAAAGTGACCTTTACAATTTTCTTCGCGATTCCCACCAATTACAATTTTTTCAAAATTTTGCACACGTCATCTAGTAAACTCAAACTTCTCAAATTAAAAAAAAAAACTCGTCATTTGGCCTAATTTAAAAAAAATTATACTGTTCTAAAGAGTGTGCGAATATTAATAATAGTCACTGTACATATATTTGCACTTTTCGAATAGCAAAAATAGACTTTTGTATTAAAAAGTGATTATTTAGGAAGCTCAATCTCCTCTAAGTAAAAGGATAAAAAAATCATTTGTAATTTCGGAGATGATAATTTTTTTATGCGGTTAGGACATGCCAAAGTCAGAAAAAATTAACAGTATAATAATTTCTGCTCACAATTATCGTCCCTATCAACTGTTTGTTCGCGAAAAGTTTTGCCATCAGTTTTCTCGTGCATATTTGCAATTCCGTTCAAAGATTTCGATAAATGACAGAAAGTTCCAATGTTTCCGGAAAAATTATTTGAGTTTAGTAATTTATTCAATAAACGTCTTATATGATAAAGCGCCTTTTTGGCATTATATTTTGTACAAAAGCAACATAGGGAAACCTGAGAGAAACAGAGGCAACTGAAAATTTATATGTATGTATGTATTAGGTTTTTCGAACAAATACTGGATCTGCACGCATGGTCCAAAAAATTTTGAATAAAAGTTTTAGCCTCGGCAATGGAACATGTACTGACAGAACAACTATTGTACGAAATTATATTAATTGGACCAAGTTGGAATAAAACAACATTGTAAAAGACAGTCACCAATAGTGAAAGATATTCATTGACCTGGTCCAATGGAATTAGCAAGTAAAAAGGGAAAAGTATTCTTACGCATCTTGAAGGATTCAGTACAAGTTAAAATAGTATAAAAAATAATATGTCATCTGTCATGTAATTTTAATTTTGCATCATCTCACTGCGACCTAATAAATTTTTTCGACAATTCCTTAATAAAAAGAAACTTTAACGTTGAAAATCAATTTGCGAACATATTGGCAGAATATTTTAATCACAAGAATGAGATATTTGGAAGATAATTATAAGTAACGATAAATATTATATCAGAAAGTAATTGGTAAAAGTTTTATTGAAAAAACCTTAGTTTACTTTCTTTAAAAATAAAACGATAGAATTTTCTGATCAACCTAATGTATACATCTATTATACATGCAGAAGTCTATAGTATATGTATATTAGAATTCTATGCTTGGAGTACGATTATACTATATCCTGTCCTATACTTTATTTGTAAGTTCATTGTTACATTTAGTTCTAATTCCAACCACTCCTGATGTTGTAATCTTATTTTATGCTGAATCGGTAACGTTGGAAGTGATACGAAAATGGTAAGGGGGCTCTGAAACCCCCGTGACGTAGATAAAAAAAATGTATTGTATGTTATTCTGTACATCGTTTGTGACGTGAGTATAAATATTTTGATGGAATCCTAATTGCAAAATATTTCTTATAAAAATGAAACATAAGTACATAAGTTTTTCTCAGTTATAGATATACAATAGATTTAAGTTAATAATAAATATATACACACATATTGTATTATTGTACCGTTGTTATACAAATGACAAAATATGTTTACGATACATTTTTATTTTGAAGAAAATTTAGTGTTTTATATACTATTTTAAATGTATTAGGTGCACAAGTATATTGATATTTGTGAAATTTACTACTGTCCTTACTTTAGTATTATTGCTTTGAACAAAGTAATGTGAACTCAAAACTTGATCTGTGTGCAATGTATAATTTTTTAAATACTTTTTAAAATATTATGTTGGAAAGTTGTTTATTTGCATATAGTTGTACAGCTGTGAATGACATTTTTGTTTAAAATATGTGTATATAAAAGTTACTGTGCAATGCAAATGTTTTTATACAAATTTTGCTATTTGTAATTATAAGTAAGTTAAATCATTTGCACAAAGTTCCTAATAGTAACTTATTTGCACAAAAATATCAGTTTTTCTTAACTGTGTTACATCTATATGACAACATAATGGAAGAACTAGTTATATGTTAGAAATTATGAATTCTCACAGATAATGGCCAAATCGGACAATGTTAAAGATCATGTTAAAATTGCAGAAGAAAATATTCTTGTACGTATGTGTATTTTTATCAAATTCAAAACTGTAGATACTAATGTTACTATGTTAATTTCATTCCTTTCTGTACTATTAAAACTGAATTTGTTGCATTGCATTTGCAATATACTTCCCAAAGCTTTACTTTACATTTTGTGTTAACACACTTGCTATTTTTTGTTTATCTGGTAACTCAATCATTACATACAGTGTGGTGATGGTATGAAAGAATACCTTGAGCCTAGATTCGAGTGTCCTATTTGTTTAACTTGGCTACACGATCCAGTTTTAACATCTTGTGGTCATAAGTTCTGTTCGCAATGTATATACACTTGGCTTCAGTAAGTTATATTTCATGATGTTAAATTAACAAATACATATAATCTATTGCATATATGACCTATGTGTGCGAATTTAATTTTTTTTTTATAGAAAGGAAGGAGCTTGCTGTCCAATTGATAGCAAACCCTTAAAATCTGAAGGCGATTTATTCAGAGACTTGTATACTAGCAGAGAGATATCACAACAACGTATGCCTTGTCCTTACCAACAATTTGGCTGTGAGGTTAAACTATCACCAGTGGATATGGAAGCACATATAAACCAGTGTATACATAATGGAAGTCTTTCAAGTTCACGAAATGTGAACTGTCTCTTTAAAAATGTTGGTTGTATGGGAAGTTTTCAAACAGAAGAAGATTTACATGCCCATTTAGAAAAAAACACAAACCTTCATTTAACCGTTAGTTTAGTTTTATTTGATACAATTAGGTTTAACTACAGTGTAAAAGAAATTATTTCTTATTTACTTTGTAGTTGGTGCTAAAGGCATTACCACAACTATCTATCTCACGAAATCAGACTAATGCAATAACTGCAGAATCTAAATTGTGGGATCCTCCACCAAAAAATGCTTCTCTAGAAAAAAATGAGCCATCATTAGAATGGCAACAATTGTTAAAGTAAATTTTATTAGTTGCATTTCATTATATAAAACATTTTCATAAAATTTTTGTAATTATTTTGTAATTAAATTATATATTTCTTTTAGGAATCTATATGAAAGAATAGTAATATTAGAACAACAAAACAGAGAACTGTCTATAGCAGTTTCCAATCAAAAAACTCAACTTACAACTTTACAAACTTCTCTTCAATTTAATCAAGATGAAATGTTTTTACGTAGTTGTAATGGTGTTTATATTTGGAGACTACAATCTTTTCACGAAAAACTTGAAAGTATGATGAATGATTCATTAAAAATGTTTTATAGTCCTGGTTTTTATACTAGTCCTAATGGTTACAAGATTTGTGCTAGAATTAATGTATCTTCTAAAGATCCTGAATATTTATCACTACTTCTACATATAATGAAATCAGAAAATGATGATGGTTTGGATTGGCCATTTAATGGAACAATGTATTTTATTTTGGTACATCCACATGACTGGAAAAAAGATATACGCGAAATAACTTCATCAAGACCAGATCTTGAAGCTTTTAGGAAACCAGTATGTGAATTGAATAAGCGCAGTTTTGGTTACACAGAATTAGTGCGAATACAAGATTTACCTGATTTTTTGCAAAATGATTGTTTGATTTTTAGGATAGAAGTTCGTGTTTATGATAGATTTAGTTCACAAATATAGTTCAAAAGTGTTAGTAATATTAGTTAAATATTTTTTTTTAAATCAGTATATTTCAGTTATATAATGTTTAAATTTTTATATTTTACATTTTACTTTACTACAAATCTGCGTTTTTGCAGAAAAGGATAAGTACATACTAAGTATGTACTCGAGACTATATTTATCAAGTCTTACTATATATCCTCAATCTATTTTTGTACAATATTATAAACTAGTATACTTTGCAAAAATGGAAAATTTTCGGCTTTTTTGGTTGAATAAGGTTTTTTGTTGTAAGGCATAAATTATCACTTTAAACTTTTACTCACATTTTATAACTTTACTTTCTGAAAAGTGATAAAATATTTTCTTATTTCTTCTTGAGAATAGTTATTAATATTTTAGAATAATACGTTGCATTATATAAGTAACAATTGACATTTTATACAAAAAAAATTATTTAATTTATTTTATTAAAAAGAATTATTGCATTTTTATATTAGTACAATTTTCATTTTACTTTACATGTAACTTGTATATTATATGTATACAGTGTAAAAGAATGCACTCCGTCCTATGATGTGATAAAAGCTACCTTGTTAATTTTGTGTTTTAATATAATTACAAATGTTTACAATGCGAATAAAATTATTTAGTAGCAAATAGCACATGTATTGTTTTGTTACGCCCTGCGATGCCTGATACACGGAGCAGGAGTATTTTATCTGGACCTATCTAGTGGTTAGAGTGAGATTATAACTTGGAGAGTCAGATGAACCGGTGTAAGGCTAACACAAGGAACCTGCGGTTAGGGTTATGTGGACGATTCGACGAAAGGGTGACGTCGGGAGCTACACGGACCGGAATAGGGACAGTTTAGGTAGAGGAGATACTGTTTTCGAGCCTCGCAGCCCGCTTTTGTAGTTTGCCAAACAAAGACAAGGACAACGAATAATAGAGAAGGATTAAACAAGAGTCGATGCAACCAAAAACACCAGCGTTTTTATTTTTAACTTTTTCTGTATGAAAAAGTACTTATTAATACTTATTGACTGATTAATTTAATTTCGTAATATGTATATCACTTTGGATGAATTACGGAAACGAATTGCTAGAAAAATACATTAAATATCTGTATACATTGTCCGTCGAATGTGGAGGGAGAGACACCGTTTGGTGGACACTGTGAGGGAAGAGACACCATTTGGTTATTTGTAATAACAGAGAAGCGATTGAATAATTTTGCGCTGACACTACTCTGGGCTCCAGATATTTCTGAGTCAAGGAATCAAAAAATCATTTTGCTCAAAAATACATAATAGAAGAGTTGTGAACAATAAAAAAAAAACATTGAAAAAATTTTTAAAACTTCCAAAGAAATTGCTGAGCTAAAATAGGTAATTTTTATCAAAATATACCTTTGCTACAAGCTTCTGATAAATTACAAAAACGTGATGCCATTATTTACAGGACCATCGGAGATGTACTTTTGCGAACGACGCTTAGACAACGCGATCGCAGTCTTGTAAAAAATTGAAAATTTAATAGAAAATGTTTCAATCACTTTAAATAATCCAAAACCTTTTGTGTGTGAAGTCTATTACATATTTATGTACATGTCACCTCATTGTAAAAATAATTTAATATAAAATACTGTACTACTTTACGGTAGAGAGTGTGAGTGTGAGAGAAAAATGAAATATATTTTGTGTATTACATTTTTAGGCTAATTTTGACGCTGAAAATATAATAAATAAATTCCCTTCGGTTCTATTGTACTACTTTACACTTTTCTAATTCATAGTGTATTAGAAATACTATACTATTCTTATTTCAACTCATTTTTATAATGTAATCAAAGCGATCATGAAGTAAAATGAGTTACATATACAATAAGTATTACATAAGTAAATGTGGTTCAAATTATATCATATTTGATCTCATTTTAATTAAAAAAATTTCACCAATATGCTAAACAAATTTTCAGTTAGAAAAAAGTAAAATTAAAAAAGTTATATTATTGCATTATAAACTGTCAAGTCGTGAACTCTCATCAAAAGAACCGTGTCGCGCATTACATTACACACGTTGCATATTTGACTGACTCCGAGAAAGATAACATAGGAGTAAAAATAACGTGTAGCTAGGCGTAAGAACAGCGAGTGGACAGTGTGAAGGGAGCTCTAATAACAACAAAGCGGAAAACTTTACTGTATTCTGTTTGGTATCGTGCGCTTTTACGCGATTATTTACACCTAATACCTAAATTTCAGCTTCCTTTTCTTTTTTACGTGGGGGAAATCCTCTTGAACACCCCACCCCACTCCCTCTCCGAACGTGGGAGGCGGGGTAGTGCCGGACTGTCACTGGCTAAAACCCCCACAGCTACCCTCGTCGGGCGGACGGGGAGGACCCCGGTACACTTTCGTATTCTTCTGAGCACCTCCCCGCGCCATTGTCTTTCGACCCGATCGAAACGGCCCCTCCCTTGTACTCCTGTAACTTCGCCGGGGCAGGGGAGTAGTGCCCCGCTCCGACCCGCCCTTTCGGAATCGCGTGCAATGCCGACTGGGCCCCCATCCAGCCGGCTGCGACTTCCCTTGGTCCCCCTCCGGCCCGTGAAACTAAGTCCACGGGGCCAGAGGGGCCAAACCTCTTTGGCCGGTGTGGGCGGGAAAACTCCGCCC